TTGATTTATCATCGATCTTGTTTTCTTGAGAGGAGGGAAAACCAATTTTCCGAAGTGAACTGAACGCAACAAAAGCATGAATGATACTAATGAACATTGGAATAGAATATATGTCATTCTTAATGTCAGGCCTGAATGAACACCTCGAGAAATAATGGATATAGGGGAAACATCGACACAAATATACATGTCTACCGGTTACCAACAGGAAGACTATTATAAAGTTTTATCATATAGTAACAACTATAGGTGAGCCAATTTAAAAGCTATTTGACACTTCATAATTTATCTCGGATTTATTTTATTTAATTTATGTCATTTTCTATGTCTCATATATTCATTCTTACTTATAAATTGTTGAACTTTGACTAACATTTCTTTCAAAGAGAGGAATGGATCCACGTTCATCTTTCGTTACGAAATTAATCTTCATTTATGTTTATTATTTTAAAAAAGTGCGTCCCAAAGAAATGTACCTAACATTTAAGACACTAATAGTGTTCATTACAAATTTATTATAAGCTAATAGTACAAAAACAAAAAAAAATTAAATAAACAGAAACCACTTCGAATCTCCATTAAGGCGAAATTGCACACTTGTTTATTAGGGAAACTTTATTGAGTGCTTTTGCTACTCATTCCGGATTACTTTAGCTAAAGAAAAAGACAACTAACTTATTAATAGTTGTTGCTTTTCTTAAGTTAATTTGTTACTTAAGCATGATACAAGTTACAAAGGAAACCGATAATTTCTACTTAACAGACCTAAATAATCTTATAGTTTGTTCTACATCTAGCTTAGGTAAAGCTTTAATAAATAATTTAGTATGATATTGATACGTAAATATCTTTATCCGACTATTTATTAACAAGTTATAAGTTTATTTGATTTAAAAATTTATATTAAAGAAAATAAAAAGCACTAAAACGTTCACCACTCAGCTTCAAATGCTGGTTTTCAGAACAAATACAACATACTTTAAAATACTACGAGTAAAGGTTCTCAATAGAGAATTTAGTACCAGGTTTGTATAGGTTTGGTACCAAATTACAAGTTTAACATACAGATAAAGTATTCTGTCTCGTAAACTATATTATAAAATACATATAAAAGTTGCCAGCGTCTGCGTCCGTGCGGAAATAAAAAAATATAGTGATAAATATAGCTTATATCACTCGGAGTTAGTGTAGCTTCTCCACTACGAAAGAATTACTCTAATCAGTTTAATAGTTTCTTAGTTTCAAAACAAACTAAAATATCTTTTCTCTATGATATAAATAAAGCTTGCATTACGATAATCAGGAACATAAATTTAATCGCATTTTATGCTTGTCTTCAAAACTACGGTACAAAATTGTAGCATTTCCAAAAGCATTGCTTTGTTACACGTAGTTTCTTTGAGAAACCGTTTTCGTTTGTCTATACAATGTCGTTTACAGGGCGCTAAAACAACTGTTGTTAAAGTAGACACGTTTAGTCTTATCTTTACATCTTTTGCATCTTTCCTACACTAAATCTTTATTGTTATATCGTGCTAGAATTTAGATTCTCTGTGACTATGTTAGCGTAGTCAAAGAGATGTTCTACACGTTTTCAAAGTGTTGCAAAGTAAGATAACATTAGCATAAATTACTGCTGAAATAAAAACTTGTTACTATCCCTCTCATCCTCTTTAAAAAGAAAGGAGATAACAATATATTTATGAACACATATTTCAGCTGAAGTCAAATTTAACTGTACTAAAATTGATGACATGTATTAAATCAACTCACAGTTAGTACATTAGAAGCGGATCAGTGAATCAACACTATCGAATCACGCTGCTCAACTCAATTTATACCTGCATTGATTAAATTGCGTTTGAGTTGTGAGTTGCGAGTTGCGAGTTGCGAGTCATCGAGCAGTGTGAGGTGTAAAGCGCGCGGTCTGTTTTATTTATTGGTCGCTCTGCAACTCACCGGCTGGGTCGAAGAACTGCATTGAGCCGCGATCTGCCTATTTAGTTGTTGAACCGCAGCTCAATATTTAAATCTAAGTGATTTAATCTTTTGAGTCGATTCAGAACTGATTTGATCAATCAGTTCAATCAGTCAAATTTGATTCTATAATTTCTTATCTTAGTAAATACACTTAATTAATCCGAAAACAAACTGTTTCCTTACCCTGTTTAAGACTGTTTTAAAACACGATCTCATCATTAAAAATAACGTTACTAATTGTTCTAGACTAATATCAAGTGAACGTAAAAGTTTTATCTTTGTTGGTAATAAAAATGTATCGCTTAAAGAACATTTAATGTTTATCTGTAAAATGTATACACAAGTTTGTACGGACCATTACTGTTAATGATACCACTTAACACAAACGTTTAAGATTAACAACAGAAGCAATGATATATTAACACTTTCCGTGCTACTACGATTTTAGTATTAAACTCACCAGGCTAGTCGGTGATATTTAATATGTTAAGCAATAGTGTACAATAATAGAATGATTTTATAAAAAAAATGATTGCATCTAATTTTAATTGTCAAGGTCAACGTAATGTCAACAAAAAATTGAAACGTTTAACATAATAACAATTGTTAATTTAAAAAAAAAGTAGTAACTGTTAACCAATGACACTCAAGGGATTAAAACGAACCGATTCATAATCACTCCCTCGCTCCTCCAAATATGTTGATAAGTTTAGGCTACCAGCAGTTTAAGGTAACAATTAAACTTACATACAAACAAACTCACACACTTTCGAAGAACTTAACTTTTTAAATCAGTCGGGTAATATGGGAATTTCTTAATTCCACCAATACTCATTACATTTTTCTATCTACGTGTGAAGAGGGGGAATAAAGTCGAGCCTTGCTGCAATAAAATCTGATGAAATGAGTTCCGGGGTTTACGAACATTCGCGTCAATTGGTTTTATTACCGCCTTTATGACCTTCTAGAAAACTGTAGCAGATGTTTTCAATTGTTCAATTTTATAAACTGTGCTTTGGTTATTTTAAAAACGGAAAAACCTTTTTTAATACAATTACCTAACCTTTCTTAAAACAAATAAAGTACAATTTAATAGACAAAGAATAAATATAAAATACTAGCTGTTGCTGTCTCCAGTCGTACCGAATAAAAAAAAAAGTTAATAAGTAGCCTATGTGTTATTTCAGAGTATGTTCTACATCTATGCCAAATTTCAATGAGATCCGTTGAGCCGTTCCGGAGATACCTTCAGACAAACATCCATCTAAACATTCGCATTTATAATATTAGTAAAGTAGTAGGGTTTAATAATTTTTTTAAGTTGACTATTTTTATTATTCAATGCAGTTTTATAATTTTATGTATGTTTTTTATCTGCATTACTTTTGTACATCTTTAAAATACATTCAAGAAATTTGTATCCATTTTTATGTCACGTATTCCTTCGAGCGTGTACAGCCAGTGCGAACAAACATGGAATAACAAATTTCCCTTTTAACTTGTAATAAGATTATTCATAAAGCTCCACATGTCCCACACGAAATGATTTTTCGCATTCTAAAGGAGATGCCACACGATCATCCTCGCACTGAAACCATGATTGATTCGACTACATTAAAAAAAGACAATCGAATTTAAACTCTATGATTAAACTTGTAAAGCTTAAAATACAAAAAACAGTTTGACTGGATTGAAAATATTACAATAATGAATTTTTAGAATAAAAATAGTAGCTTAATTACCATAGGAAAATTCTTTATAAAATTACCAAAACGCCTTTTCGTTTTGGATTTTATGCGGTCAAATTTCCCGGGACGTATTTTATGTTGATGAATAAATAAATAATGATGGCGTGGGAGGATCCGGTATCCTTTATGTTGTTCCTTTTGTAATGAGCCTAAATAAATATAATAGCATTACTTTCATACAAAAAATTTCGAAATATTTAATTTTGTCAGGCGTTTGAGCCGAATATGTATATTCGTTCTCAATATCTTAAGGACTTCAGTAAATTCTTAACATAATAAACGGTCCTATTACTATTATGTTTCCGTTAGTTTCGCTTAAACTCGAGAACGGCTGAACGGATTTATCTTGGTCTTCAAATGTTCGTGGAGGTCTAGGGAAGGTTTGAAAAGTGAGAAAAATTTGAATAATTGCCGGGAAAAGCCTAAAAACAGCCGGCTGAGAAGGAAGGACAGTTGGCAGCTAGTAGTATAATAATATGTGGGTAAAAATAGTTTTTCTCTTTAAACCCAATGCAATAAGGCAATTCGTACACAAAACGACGTAAATCTTAGACACTGCATGATTGCGTTGGGAGAATCGCGTTGCGCTCCGTACACACAACGTTGAATTGTTGACGCGAGTTGTCTATTCGGTCAGTACTGGTAGACTGTACTATAAATTTCCTCTGTCATCTTAAAAATCGTAGCGACTTTTCTGACGCGCTGTGCATCGAATCTCAATAAATGTTATTAATGCGTAAAGCTCTTTACACCTAAAATCGAGAGGTTTCGAACACATATGTTGCTAGAGTACAAAGAACCTTAGTTTAACTAGTAATAACTTCAAAACAATTTCATAGTAACATAATAGAAACAATTTGAAATTCATCCCAATCAATTATTGTATCGGCTTTAATTAATTCAAAACTATTCCGTTTCGAAGACTTCACAATAAGTTTGTTATTAGAATAACTTGATTGAAACTAACCAATGATAAACTATAGTTTGACATATTTATTGATGAAATTGATTAATTGTAACGATACGTAATACGAATTGTTATCTCTGTTATATCAAATAGAAAACATTCGAACCAGAATAAATAAAAAAATATCTTAATCCCTTGATGTTTGGCTTCTTGGTCCGACAGTATATTTGCACAAGTTTCACTGCAGTGAAATTCTAGGGTTTTAGACGATTGGTTGGTCGTTTGCCCCTTCTTCTATAAAAAAACTGGATTCTACTAGTGTTGAGCGAGTGGACTGTATATTGTAATGAAAGGCTGGTTGGTTGCTGATGATTGTAATAAGATTGAAAGATATACAAAATAGACAAATATGATTGATGTGTCGGCGCGCGGAGTGCTGAAGCGCAACTGAAGGTCGCGGTGTGAGGGCGCGCGGGGCGGCGGGTGAGGTCTGGAAGGGACCCCCGCGCTGCTTCCCCGCCGGTGGTGCCGTAGTACGGAACATACTGCCAGGGCCAGGCTGAAGATCTGGATCTGAAGATTGTAGATCTAGATGGGCGCTTCATGAAGTCCGTCCTTTTGCGACTTGATGCCAGTCGAAGGTACGTCATCTTGTCCTGTGTGCAGACTGGTGGCTGGATTCCCTTGTGTATCTCTGCAGACGTTGAAGGTTATGGAAAATTAAGTCCAAAATCCTTCTTCAAGTAAGTGATCGTCCATCGAGGAAGTGATGGGTATTAAGGGAGGGAAGGTAAGAGGAGTATATGGACAATGGAGTTAGATGATAGGAGATAAGGAAACCCTTTGTACGATACGAATGGATCTATGGTTAGAATCTCTTACATAAGATGGTCATGTTGTCTGACGTCACCGATGTTGATAGCACTCGGACGTGCGAAAAGTAGAAGAAAGGTGATAAGCAGGCAACAAGCATGCACCTCGCGTGCAGAGAGGTTCCTCCCCCCTCCGCCAACATCTTTAACGAAAAAAAAAACAAAATTATTTAAATTATGCAATGATGTTGATAAAATGATGATAAAAAATGATGTATGTATGTATGTATATATGTATGAATGTATATTGATGCGTATGTAAAATGATGAAAATAAGTGCCAGATACAAGCCAATCGAGAAATATATTGCAACTTGATGTTGCTCACCCAACCTGGAAAACATGACTTCCCAGGCCACATCTGCACCGACTAATATGTGTAGTGGTGTCGAAATGTGAGAAGAGATCAGCTGACCGATCTAAGAGGCAGTCTATCAATGTGTTAAAGAATGTATGATGAAAATGTAAGAATGTATGTTTGAATGATTTCATAAGTTTGATTAGGTATTTGCTTTGAGTATAAATCATTGTAATTAAAAAGAATCGAATGTTTTCGAAAAAATGACTTGTGCTCGGTATATTGAAATTTGCAAGGGTCTAAAGGTCGCATGCAATGGCTGCGCGCGCGCCGACTATGCGACAAATAACTACCGAGTGCACAAAAAGTAATACCATGGAATGTGAAATGTAAAATGAAAAAAAAAAATTGTCTCGTACAAAAGGGTCAAAAAAAAGGAAATAAAAAGAAAGGAATATGGAACGGACTCACAAATAATGTCGTCTTCCTTATTTTGATGGTGATGATGATGATTCCTTTTTTGCCGGTTGAAGGACCATATGAATGTCATAAGAATGAAAGTTGATGAACAAAATAGACAAAAATGATTGATGTGTCGGCGCGCGAAGTGCTGAAGCGCAACTGAAGGTCGCGGTGCGAGGGCGCGCGGGGAGGCGGGTGAGGTCTGAAAGAGACCCCCGCGCTGCTTCCCCCCCGGTCGTGCCGTAGTACGGAACAACTAGCCTTCTGCTTGGTCGTACATTTACGTGACACAATATTCGATTTTCATTTCTTTTTAAATATCCTTCAAACGTATATCCTCCATCGAGTTATCTTATAAAAGGTTTTTAATTAATGAATATATGGTGATTGAGAGGCAGCCAAATGTATTTTTACAGCTCAATGAATATCTCATTTTCTATTGCAGACTGTTCTCGTATTGAATACAATTTTCGTTTCAATAGCATCGTGAATTTATTAAACGGTTTTATTTTACTTGCTCTGTTTATTTTGGTCTAATCGAGTAATCAAAATACAACCTACTTCTCGTACGGTACGTACATACCGGTGTACACATTTTGTTCCGATGACGTCACAGTAGAAGATAAAAGAAAAAACAATAATTTTATTCAATACTAGCTATCGGCCGCGACTCCGTCCGCGATTAATAAAAAAAAATATTATCCTGCGGCTTCTTCATGGCTATGTGTTTTACATTTACGCCAAATAACCTTAAAGATACCTTCTAACAAACATCCATGTAAACATTTGTAATAATAATATTAGTTTAGATTATTTCAAACAAATACGGTAAAACATTAAAGGATGAAGAATTAACAAAAGAATGTCCAACTGTATTTTTTAAGTGATACGGTATATATTTAACATTATGTTAATTTTATGTTATACATCATACCAAAATTGAATTTACCGTTGTGTTGAATTATAAAACAAAACCATTTGTTATGGATGAAGATAACTATACCCCAGTTGTATGATCGACCTTTAAATCTTTGAGGGCGTTGATTAATTACACTCAGAGGGCAAATTTACATAAGCATGGCAGGTATAACGCAGAAAAATACCGCTTTCGGTATTAAGAGTCATCTATATATATAAAAATCAACTGCTGTTCGTTAGCCACGCTAAAACTCGAGAACGGCTCAAAGGATTTTTCTTATCTCGGTCTTGAAATGTTCGTGGAGGTCTAGGGAAAGTTTAAAAGGGAAGAAAATTTCGAATAATTGCCGGGAAAACTCTAAAAATAGCAGTTTTCTTTTTCCCATAAACGGCAAAACAGCTCAACGGATCTCAATGATATAATGTCGCCTGCAAATCTGTCCGCGTGGAGTTAAAAAAAAGACTTAATAAGTCGCCTATGTGTTCTTCCAGACTATGTTCTACGTATCTGCAAAATTTCATCAAAATCCGTTGAGTCGTTCCGAAGATACCTACAAACTAACATCCATCCATCCATCTACCCATCTAAACATTCACATTTATAATATTAGTAAGATAATAAATAACAATATTTGGCATATAATTTTAAACATATAGAAGAGCATATAAGGTACTTATTGTGTTGTTTAATTTCAAGTGAAAGGAGTCGCGGGCGACAGATAGTGTATAATCTGAATTATACGATGATAAAAATACTGTGTTTGTTTAGTATCAAAATAAAAAAAAAAACAATATGTCATATCTCTAGAAATACAGCTTTAGCAAAGTGTACCTAAAAGTAACCCAAAACATTATTTATTACCAACATCTGTCGCCAATCTACAACGTACAAGGTTATGTATAAAATGTATTCCGTTATAAAAATCACGCAATCTACCAACATATTTTTATATTGAGAGTTATCGGGAAAGATGAATGCGACTTTCAAAAGTATTTATTGCTCACAGTTAACTCATGAATACGGGAATTATATTCATATACGAATTTATCCAACAAAGAGAGGGATAATATCAAACTCAATACGAGTCGGGTGAGCTTTGACTATTAAGAAACAGGACCTGTCAACTGTTTACCTATTAAATAAAATCGAAAAAAAGTTCTAATCTTGATTACTTGAGCATGCTCATGGTGTAAAATGTTTTGAATCAGTTTACGTTTAAAATTTAAAAAAAAATTAAACAAACAATTATATTTGAAACGAACAATACATAATAAGGACAATGTTAGGGTTACTTAAAAATAGACAAACGGTGAAATATTAATTTCACAAACAAGTTTCACTTTTCATGCATCATCTTTACCTCACCCACAAGACCCACAAAGTGCCAGAATATATTTAATACAACAAATGATCTGTGTCCTAGTCCGTTTTCCTATAGTCAAAGATGAAACTCAATACGAGTGGGTTGAGCTTCTGAATGCACGGATGGCTTTTTATACGAAATTTAAATTTATGTATAGTTGGAGACACAAATGTTAAACCTGGACAGAATTATAATAGCGGGAATCAGTTGTCATTTGTTATTGTCAAAAGTTTGCATGCAACTGTATGATCTGATACATATAATATTTTTAAGAATACTATTGTACTAAAAAACTATTTACAATTATTAATTACTCTAAGTTGTGTTATAGCTATATACCTTATATATTGAAAAAATCGACTTACCTTTGGTTTCCGAGACCAAGATACCCATTTAAAACATATTAACTCTTTTGTGAAAGATGAAAGACAAAGATGACGATATATTTTATACCGAGATTTTGGTGACAGAAACTTCTTTAGTTTCCGGCAATTATTCGAATTTCTCCTACCTTTTAAACCTTCCCTAGACCTCCACGAACATTTCAAAACCAAGATAAGACAAATCCGTTCAGCCGGTCTCGAGTTTTAGCGAGACTAACGAACAGCAATTGATGTTTATATGTATAGATAATACTAATACTAAAAATAACATGCGAAAGGTTCATACATTTAGGTGTTGTGAAACCGCAAACTTGTATGTGAATGTTGTTCTCGACGGGAAATAACAAACAGTGGCGCCAACAGTTCCGGTATTTTGTGAATTTCCTCACTCGGTAAAGGCCTTTCTGTAAACGTTGAAATAAAAATAAATATACAGACGGAATAATGTGCAATTTTATGTTATACCTACTTTGAACTTGCGTAAGACATTTAAAACTGTTTAAGAATAAACAAGAGATGGGCAACGATCACTTCGCTATTTCAGCGATTTCAGGTGGTCTCTCGTTCGTTTGCCACCTTATGATATAAAAAATATATATATTACTAGCTTTACACCTTTATAACATATTCAGTAAATTGTACTAAAATGTTTTACGTATCCAATTTAAATTTCAAACGTAATATTTTCCTTTTCGTTGTAGGTAATTAAAAAGTAGAAATGTATAAAGTACGGCACTTCTGTCTGTTAACATTTAGCATAACAACCCTGTGGTTAATTAGCTCAGGTAGCCTTTCGTAATGAGTGTTCGCGATAACAACAGGGTTGCTATTATTTTAAATTTCAAGAGTTTATATACTACGCATTTGAATTGTTATTTCTGGATATTAGTAACCCTAATTATTCTAACGAAATTACTATTTATTTGACAATAACTTACAAAATATGTTTGTAACTTTTACGATAATGCTGAAGACAAATTATGTTATGAATTCTTATTGTTATGTTTATTTTTTATACTCTTAGGAAGAAAATCCGGTACTGTGCCGGTGTATCCGCTCAACATTATTCCTTAAAAAAAATATCAACGTTTGTGTCCCCTCACTAATCAATCTGACACTTGACTTGGTAACAAAAGCGCGCCATTCCCGACAAAGGATTCTAACCAATACTGTCTAAAAAATAATCAGTATAATTTATTTGTAGGTTAAAATGCAATAATATTAAACCCAATATTCGTCCAATACATTAAAGAATAAAATTATAATTAAAACAAACCCCAAAATTATATGTAAAAAAAGACATTTGTTATATAAAAACAAGAAACATCAGATGCAGAAGTAAGCAAGGAGTTTAACGACTTAATTTCCTTTTAGGCTTAATTCTTTCCTGGAGAAAAAGTAAATCCAATATATTTTATCCCTACTGTAAATCTTACTTAATAAATTTGAAATAGGGCGACTGAAATAAATGTGCGTAAATTATTTTTATTCCTACTAACTCTAACTTCTTTAACCTTGAGATATATTATTACTGTCATCCCTGTCATTATCTTTGGCAAAAAAGAGATAACAATATGTTTCAAAATGGGTTTTGAAGCTCAAAACCCCTCGGTCTGTCATTTAGGCTGTGGGCGGTCACAACTCAACGGTCATACATAAAACTGCGAAAAACAAAACATAAATAATAATAATGAATTCATTCGTGTTATTTAGAAATTGATACTACGTTTTAGTAATTTGTTTGTCTAAAACAACGTAGTACATTAGTATTGATAAATGAGAGACATTATTCATAGGGCTGCGAATGTTCGTGATGTTTTGACCCCGTTCCCGCGTCAGACCTCGATGAAATTATTAGGCACGGGTCAGCAGAGGGATAGACGCTGTCACTAACAAATGGTGGCCGCAACACCGGCCATTCGGTGAGTTATTTCTCAATTTATATTACTAGCTTTATTACCAACTTTATTTATGGGAGCTTGTTTTCTTTCGGACAACACATTCATTATATCTTACAACGACAATTAACCAAAATTTATAATTACACAAAACAAACACAAAATTGCTTAATTTGTGGTTGTAATTTAGCCTTGCCTTCATTTCTTACGTGTAAATAAAATTAAAAAGACTGATAGACAACAAAGTGATCTTACAAGAGTTCCGTTTTTTCCTATGAGTTTCGGAACCCTAAATATTATATTTCTGAATCTTTAGCCCAGAAGAAAGCTCAAAGATTATGAAATGCTAGCAATTCACTTAAGACTATGTACTATTGTTATCTCAGTTTTATTTAAGGAAAAGAAAAGGACAATGTTGTTTTTTACATGTTTTTCCCGGTGTTACACTCGAAACATTTAAAACCAAACAAAATTTTACAATTTAATCACTTGTACCTTCATATTACAATCTGTATGTATTATATGACTGTGAAATATGTACGAAGGGAAAAATGACTACACTTCCGTTCTTGAAGACGAGAGGCTCATGTAACACCAAATTAATGATTGTCCATTCGGACGTGGTTGGACCAATGAGAACCGAATCTCTAGGTGGAGCAAAATACTTTGTGACAAAAAACAAAAGACATTCGTGATCACTCCAATTATTAGATGACCTAGCACGGTCTACTTCTTCACACCATGTCTCTATGCAATTAACACTCGGATCAAAATTAGAAAAATAATAAGACTGGTTAGATCTCACCGGTATATTTATGGATCGTATCGCATCGATGATGCGATCGGCGGCGCTGGCCTGGACTGACGTAGCGCTCGCGGGACGCTCCGGTGAGGACGGAGTCGTTGAAGCCAACCGCCCTGTTGTTCCTCTAATGACACCAATCTATTCAAAATTTGTTGCATTGTTTCGGTTAAAATATTGCTAGAAGGGCTACGCCGTCTGTAGCGCGAATCATGTTGGCTAGAATGCGATCTGCGATTTCGGGACCGACTTCTATTCTGCCGCCTCTTATTAAGCTAAGTATTTAAAATTAGATGTAATTCGAAGCAACGCATTCAAGTTACGGTAAATAATTGATCAGCAGGGTAAGCACGGCAAAATATTAAAGTTAAGCCATTTAAAAAATTTCACAACAAACTAACAAATTCAACTTCTATTTGTTATTTTAAAACGGAGAATAAAATAATTGGAACGTACTCACCAAAGTTGACATTATAAAACTTGATCACGCCGTCACATCGCGTCTTACTTACGTATATTATACCAAACACCGAAAACAAAGTGCTAATTTGTCCTTTTAAACAAGGGTAGTTTAGTAATTTCCAAAAATATATTTCTGATCGTATGACTAGCCAATTAAAGAAATAACAATGGAAACACATCGTATCAGGATGTACAAACGAGGACGTGGGAGTTTCACTATCCCGCTTCTGACCTTAGGGATCAGAAGCAGGGAAAATTAAAAAAACAATCTCTTATACACTACTACAGTACTTTTTGAATTAATAAGAAAACTAACAGAATTGAATAAATGTAATTAACACTGAAATGATTTAAAAATGCAACATTAACATAATCAACTATCAGAGTTAAAATGATTAATTATTTTGGCTAGTCAAACGGGCAGAGCTTCCGCTGGCTTCAGTGTTCGGTGGCGAGTGTGGCCCGAAAATGACGGTGCGGGATCTTATATTAGCATCACCCTACCATGTCGGAGGAAGCCATTTTGATTATTTCAAAGTAGGAAGTTATTAAGTAGCCATTGTCAACTGAATTACTGTTTAACGCATAGTGTGCAATGTTTAATGTTTATTGATATTGTAAAAGCTTCTAATAACTTTTAATTTGATCTTACTTTTTAAGTTACGTTTTTCCTAGACTAAATAACATTATTATCGTAATTTAAGTAACGACCAATCAGAGCAGAGCACCTGGCTTGAGAGGGGTCCAGGCAACATCTTTATATAAGGCGTTTTGACAGTTGTTACGAATATAGTCGTGAAGTGAAGACAGATCGAGTTGCCTGCACTTTGTCGTCGAGAAAAGTGTTTCTCCGACTGTTTCTGCGGCAGTTGATTTTACTACGGAAAGTGACGCCTCCGCCGTCTGTCGGCGTTCGATGGGTCAACACCTTACCAGCCGAGGCACGGCAGCAGAACTCCTGTGGCTGCCGACTGGAACGGACATTCAACCGTCGCGCGTTATTTGAAGATTGAAAAGTGGACGATGAAGACATAGCGGAGCTACATAGCGGAGGCATACCCACTGAACCCCTCTGTTCCTATAGTGTTTATTATTTTATTGGATTTATTTCAAAATGTTTTTAACTTGTATACAGATTTCACTTTTTAACCTTTTAATTTTACATTTTTTAATTGTTTTAATGTTTTTTAACCTAGATGTAAGAAAACAATGTGATATAATTTTATGTAATTGACTATGTAATTGATTTTTAAAATAAAGAAATAAAGATATTCCCGCACCCCAAGTCCCCGACCCGTTCCCGCATCCATTATCCGAGGGCTAGTGTGGGCGCCCCACTCTTCTACGTCTGAGCGTGGGCGCCAGGGGTCCGGGGGGTCATGGGGTTCGATGGGTCATGGGGTTCGGGGGTTCGGGGGGTCA